TGGATTTTATGTTAAGGCACTAAAAATAAAAAGGCATGAAAGCAAGCTAGCAATGAGTCATATGCTTCCAGAAAGAAGGGACACTTTCAAAAGCACAAGTCAGTCACTTGGCTGCCCTACTTCAACATCTAAAGGGGACAGAGAATTAAAAAAAAAAATTTTTTTTTGAGGATAGAAAATTTAAAGGTTTTCCACAGCTAATTGATTCAGATATACATATTTAGATTTGCATTTCCTCAAGAGGCAGTAAAAAATGATGGCAAGGATCTGGAAAGGAAAAAAAAAAAAGACCCTAGCAAACCTACTTTGTAGCCACATCTCATGACAATGAATTACACACTGCTGGCACTCAGTGACTGACACCCCAAATGGTAATCAGGGGCTCTCTGCTATTGTTGTTAGAGGAGATGGGGTCAAGAGTGTTTCAAACCTGGGCAAATGGAGTCTTGTTAACAGCAAAGAGCAAAATTTGTAGGAAACGGCCTCTGGGAAGTCTTAGTGCCAGCAGGGTTTCTGTGTGCCTTCCAGGGAAGAGAAATGAGATCTACATGAAAACGGGCTCAAATCAGTTATGCCGGCAGACAAATGCCAGGAAAGGAGTACTCTGTGGAGGTAGCATGGTGGGACAGGATCTACCGAAGGGACAAACGCTTCTTGTGCACACAGGTGCACCCTCACCCATCTGTGCAGTCACCCAACAGAACTGCACGCCAGACCACCCCAGCTGTGTGCATGGCTCAGGGAGAGGACCTGATGCACAAGCCTAGCCAGCAGACACTCACGCACAAGGGCCAGCCTGGCCTTCGCAGACTCAGCAGAAAGCCCTTCATGAGTTGCTGCTTCTATAGGAATGATCAGTAGCTCTAGGATTAACTTCCTCTTGAGAGGCAGGATTTTTATCTTGCTCTTCTTTCCAGAAATTCCCCCTTTGATCCAGAGTATTAAATCAGGTCTGAGAGAGGCTCCACTTCTCCAATGGATATGACTCAGAACAGGAACTGCAGGAACTAAAAATGAGCAGTATGCCCCCTTGGGACAGGGCTGCAGTATTTTCTGGATTTAAACAGTTTCTGGGCAAAAAAGAAAAAAGAAAAAAGAAAGCAGTTTTGGGGTGGGGTGGGGTGAAAGGCCTCTAATGAGGGAGAAGGAAGGGCCGGAGAGTCCAGAAATCAGAGCAAACCACAGAATGGGCATAAAAAGGGGCTTCAAGAAATCAACACGCAACTGAGCTGGCTGACCAGTTCTGCTCTGACACAGGGGACTGAAAGGCTGCAATGGAGAATCTTCCTTCTCAGGAAGGCTCAGCTGGGAGTGGTGTGGCAGAGGGGTAGAGGCAGAGGCCTAAGGTTCCGGTACTGCCCCTAAGGTTTGGGCTTGCCTGCTTTTGAAGGAAAGGGGGCTAGAGCAAAAGGGTCAGCAGCTGGCAGCTCCGTAGTCCTGGAGGAAAGGGAGGGGATGGAAACAGAGCCAGCTATTGTCTGCTTGTTGGTCTGTGAAACAACTTTACAGGCAGCAATGGGCTGGGCTTCTGGGTTGGGCTCATCTTCGGGGCTGTAGTGACGGGAGTATTTGGATAAAGATTGGGGGCGGAATGGTTTGCCAGCCACAGGACCCGTGGCAGCTTCTATCTGGGGCTGGAGTCCTTTGCTCCGGTCACCAGGGTGGCCCCCAGATTCCAGGGAGGGGACCCTGGGAATGATGCTGTCAAGCTGGTCTGCTGCTTGTACAGGATGGGAGGGGAGGGGAGCTCCTGGCACAAAACCAGCCATGGGATACTGAGCTCGGACAGAGGAGTAGCCTGCTCTGTCGAGGCCTGAGAGCACCGGGGCATCACCTGCCTGGCCAAGGAGACTGGGCTGGGTGGGCAGTTCCTGGGAGTTGCTCGGGACAACTGTTAACTCCTCCATGCTTTTCTTCTTTGTGAAAGGGGCTCTTAAGAACACATCTGCCTCCTCCGACTGACAGGCAGCCACACTGCCCTTGGAGACAAATGGGGCTTTAGAGAAAATGTCCATGTCTTCGGGTGGGACCCTCGAGCTCCTGAAGGGGGCTGTGGCGAAGACATCTGGTTCCCCAAGACCATCACTGGCTGGCTGCGGGAGTGCTTGGAACTGGTTCTTTCTTTCTCCTTGCACCTGGGCTGGCTCGGTAGGGACTTCAGGGGCGGAGAAGGAAACGGCTTCACCCAGTTTCCCTTGGGGAGGCCTGCAGCTCTCATCCTCTTCTTCAGACTCCAGAAGGAGGGGCCGAGACCCACTGCAGTCCAGCATGTCCCCCTCCAGGTCGGTGCCTTCCTCCTCACTGCTGTGGAACGAGCTGTTGCTGGAAGGGCCATCTCTGGCCAAGAAGTCAGATTCTAAGTTGTTCTGAGTCTTTGGGCCAGGCATTCTGGAGGGGTCTGGATATAAGGGCAGGCCTTTTACACCTGATGACTCTTTAAAGTGCTCTACAGTTATTACAGGACAGGGGTTGGACTCTCTCTGGAGACCTAGAAGAGTAGAAAAAGCAGAATCAATGGGTTGCTCAGTTTGAGCTCTTTTTTTTTCTTTTTTATAAACATTAAATGGTCAACCCGCGGCAAAAAAAAAAAAAAAGTGGGACCAAAACAATAGATGTTGAAAATGGAAAAGGAAAAACAGAAAAATAAAAACTCAGGCAGGGAAATTACACAGACTGGAACACAACCAATCACTGGTTCACAGTTGGAAACATGAAAGGCACAATGCGCAGGAGAGGCGATGAAGACGGAGGCACACGGACACAGGGCAGAACTGGGCAATGCCTCCTTGCGGGGCCAGGCACGCACAGCTGCTCTACCTGGCACTGGCTTGGATTGGGATGACCAGACCCAGTCACTCATCTCCACTTAGACCAGGGCAGTCTGGGATTATACAGAAATACTGTCTCGGGGAAGAGGGACCCTCAAGTCTGTCTGTGGCACATGGCTGCACATGCAGAATGGCAGACCCTTCACTAAGCAGCAGAATGTGGCTGTTCGGTAAGTGCAAATTCACTCGATAATTCACATCACAAGTATTCCCCAACAAGCACAAAAGTGCCCCAAATACAAATACTGAAGGCAGGGTTTTGAATCAAAGTCATATGAAGTCAATCACCTTCAGCTGGGGTTGCCCTGGATTTTTTTTTTCAGTCTAGAGTGCCTCCTGCTTAAGTTAATCCATTATAAAGTTCTTTAAGCAGAAGTCAAATGCAGGAGCAATCACAGAAGTATTAGCGGCTGCAATATACTGTCTTGTTCTATCTAGGTAGAGGTGCCTCAGGGTGCTCTGGCTTTTCAAATCAAATAGACAATGATCAGAATGCAAGAGAGCTTACCTTCCAAGAAATATTAGCAGGTTAGAAGTATGTCATTGGGCACATGTTAGCAAGAGGGCAGGAAAAAGGCATATGTAACTAAGCAAGAAGAATCCAGAGAAAGGGTGTTTGGGGGTAAAGGTACAATTCCATCACGGACTCACAAAGTGATGTCACTGGCGTTTTCCATCCCACTGCAGCAAGACTATGCAGTACACGGATCTGGAGCCCCAGGCGACTGGGGACCTCTGGACACATGGGATGTAACCCCTCCCTCCCCACACTGATCTTCCCTCCTCTGCAAGCCATTAGCTAGCAGAAACGTCTGCCAAAAAAGGATCCCCCTGCTCAAGTTTCTGCTTAAATTAAGCACACAGAACACAGCACAAGAGGCATAAAATCAGTTTATTGGGAAACCAGTCACTCTGAGACATTACATTGTAAAGAGAATGTAGAGAGAAGTCCGGACATTTTATAAGATACTGTACAAAAATACTATGTTTCTCTGAGTCCTAGAACTTCTTAGCAGTGCTTCTTTTTCAAACAGTTCTGACCTTAAATGTTGTTTCAGAAACAAACAAACAAAAAAAAAAGGTGTCTTTTCACCCCATTTTTATTTCCATTTCTACCAGTTTGAATTCATTCAGTGAATTCCAAATTAAGACTTAGAGTTATATTCTGTCCTGGTGCCAAATGGCCTTCTAAAGAGTATGTGAAGAACATGATTTTGAAGATAACACATTTTTCATTGCATGACAGCCTTAATATGTGAAACTACATGGTGCCAGGAAATCATGGTCAACTGACAGGAGATAAATGGAACACCTTCTCTCATGCAATATATGTGGGAAGATATAATCCTAATTTCTCAGGTGAGTATAACATCTTATTTATCTGGGAGGAAATTTAAATGAAAGGGTAGGGAAATGGAATATTTCTGAGATAACATTTGCTGAGCCTCAAAGAAGAACAAGAGACCCTTCAAATTCCACAAATTCTCCCCTCTGTAGTTTCAGCCAAAGTTTTCAGGTGCCAAAACAAAGGCACAATTCTGGATCTTCCAAAACTCCCCTGAAACCAATGCTGCCAAGCTGGTTCTGTAGGAGAGCAACATACCTCTTGGGGGGGGAAAAACGAATAGTTTAGTCAAACCAGTGACTCAGCCTAGCATCACAGGGATCAATAATCAAAATGAACACTGCTTTAACCTGAGTTGGTGCTTTTAAAAACAATTCCAGCTGAATTCAGTCAAGGCAATTTGCGTGCACAGACTAGCAAAAAGCAGCCATCGCTAGACACCTGCAGTGCTGGTTTGCACTTGGAGAGCTGTGAGGTACCAGGGGATGTGGTGAAGGGTTCCCACACCCACAGCTCCAGAGCTGGCTGGCAGATCAGGCCTAACCACACAAATGATTCTGTTAGTAAATGACTTCTGGTCAAGAACTTACTTGGGAAATACTCCAGCTCAAAGCAAATGTTGGTACCTTCATGGCGAGTAATGGGAGACCATAGCGAACATCGAAGCAGCTTTAAAAAATTCACGAGTACAGTCCTAAGAATGCCACATCATCAAATTTGAAGAGAAAACCAACCTCCTGTCATTCAAAACAAGGGCCAGAGCTATTTCCTATCTCTTTAAACATCTACTAGTTTTGTGCAAATGGAAAAGTGCAGGCAAAGAATTCTGAGAAGGTCGTCTTTCCCAACCTTTCCATTCTTTCTAAAGGGGCAGTGGGATTGAAGCAGGAAGTAACCACCTTTTACAGCGGGCCTGCAATGATGAAGGTCAAAGCAACAGCAGAGGAATATGAGGGCTCCCAAGGCATCCACATTGCCTTAAGGAATTCTGAAAGTGGTAGCACAAGGAACAAGGTAGTTAAGAGAAGAAGAGCCCAAATAACTCTGCAGAAGGTAGACATTGATTCTTGCTGGCATTAAAGGTCTCTCCTGGAATAAGTGGATGTGTTCCTCAAGGAAAACACAGATATGCCAGGTGAACAGTCCCTGTGTATGAAGATAATGTTGGACTGACAGGCAAGTATGTTTGAAGCAGTCTGTCCATTAGCAACGAGGGACTGACATCCATTTAGCCTCTGTCTGGTTCACTCCTTTGGCAACAATGGCACACAGAGAAGTTGCTCTGTGATTACAGAGCTCAGTAAAACTGGACTAATGTTCTTTGCAGATTTAAGCTTGAGCCTTGGCCTCAGAGTCTGTATAACACTGACCTATCTCAAGATCTAATGTAAGTCACTTTGCTATAATTTCCTCAAATTGTTTTTTTTTTTTTTTTTTTTTTTTTGGTTTGCACATCAAATTTAAGAAGTCAAAAAACACTTCTCTTCTTTGTTTTGAAGTAGTGGCTAGGGCCAGGTGAAGCACCCTGAGGCACTTCTTCAAGGAGTAGCTCCCTATTAATTTATTGTGAAGCTCCAAATCATGTGGATTTGAGTAAGAACTTACAGACTTACGGGGTGGGAAAGGTGGCCCAAAAAGTATCTGATGATGTGACAACTATCCTCACTAGTTTCCCATCAATTTCCAAAGCAATCCAAAGTGTTGAGTGACTTGGAATGGATTTACTTGGGTTACTTTACTTGACTGACACAGTGAGGGTCATCAGGAGGCTCTCTGCAGAGTAGAAATCTGAAGACTACTATACCAAGCTGGTGGATCCTTAATACAGTAACTACACCATGTACAACCAGCACTTTGGTTTTTTCCATGAGTTATAAGGAGTACCAAAGATAAAAGATAAAATTCTTCCCTCCCTCTTGCTAAAAATCCTGGAAATGAGGACTTGGAAGTATTGTGAAGTTATCAAGCAATGTATAGCGAATTCAAAATTTTCATGACCTTTAGGCTTAGATGATAAACTGATACATGTGGTTTGACCATCTGTCCACTGGAGAATAGGGACATGGAGCAAGCAGCACTGCTTATGATGCTCTGCCTCTCAGGCCAACAAAGCAATAAAATAGGAAAAATTTTTCACCAGGTATAAAATTGTTCTTGCCCACATAAAATGCTTAATTAAATTGGTCTGGCATATTAATGATGAAATGAGAGGCATGCAGCTGTAACTCTGTGTTCCATTTTACAACCCTGAATCTGATTAGATGAAATGTAGGCTCACAGACAGGTACTTCAAATCCTAGGGGATTTGTGTTCCAGGATGACCTTGACTCAACAAAATGTCCTCAGCATATCTGTCACATGTATCCACCCTTTTCTTGTATACTGGTAGTTACTGCCACCCGTCAATGTGATTAAATTCTTCTGTAAATGAATTTTCAACTCAGAAAAACAATGGCTATTAAGTTATTTATATTTCTAAACATCATGCTCCCATTTAAACAGATAAAAGTCTTTATTCCCCTGTATGCTTACATTAGAACTTTGTTTACAGACTTGTTTTTTTGTACAATACTTGTGTAGCAATATTCAAATTTCACATTTTTACTGCATAAGATAGCTTCATGTACATCTCTTTCCTTTTCTTTTTGAGGGAGGACAGGTTGAAGACCTATGGTAAATATACATTCACTTCACAAGAAGGGTGCAATGGGCAGAAAAGAATGCTCACAGTGAAAGAATAAATTCAGGACACTACACCAAAAAGGGAACTAAGAAAGTGTTTTCCATTCTAGCAACTACCACTATCTGGTTACTTTGCTTGCATAGGTTGGCATTACCCAGGGAGCCTCCCTCATCCATCTTAGTTTCAGAAGACTGGAAATGGAGGCCATCTTCGATTCATCTCTGTTCAAAAAGTGCAGGCATATCCAACCTCAGAAACATCACTAGCTTGGAAACGAAGAAGATTAACTCTGTGTTGCTGAAATGCATTCTAAATATTCATGTGATAGTTCTGTTTTGCTCGGTTGCCTGTGTTTTGTTTAATTCAGTACACTGAGCAATGCTGCTATTTATTTCCTAAAATTTTAGTTAGTGGCTTTGAGGTCCTGTTGTTATAGGCAAAAGAACCACTTCTGGGTTACAGAGAAACCTCTCTGTGGGACAGCTGACTTCAGTCCAAGGTACCCACAGCATGCATCTGGAAGCAGCTTCCTCTCTATCTTTCTAGGCTGTGGGCCCCAAAGAGGCTCTCACGTTTACAGCGCTGCTGAAGGCAGAACTGCTGACCTACATAAGGCTATGTTGGCTTAAGTCACAATGACTGATTAGCTACCAGAAGAGGAGGAAAGAAGTATTAAAACCAAAACAAAAATCTTGCATCTGAAGAAAAACATATTCTTTGTCTTAGACTATTTTCTGTGAATTATTCTTTTCATTATTTTCAACAGTAACCTCTCTCTGTCTTGGGGAGGTGATTTTGGTGTGCAAAACCAAGACTTGTGAAAATTTAGATCAAGAAAGAGAATATGCTGGAGGTGAACTAGTTAGATAGTGCAACTTAATTTCAATAACAACATCATTAGGACAAGTGCTATGTCCCCAACCAGACATGTTTGAAGACAGCAATACTTAACTGGATGTTAAAATTCCTACATGATGCTAAATCAATTATTAATCATATGTATTTAGAATTGTCCATTTAAATCTAGTCTCCTCAGAGACCTATATTTTAATAACACTGGGACTTGAATTAGGTGATTTTGTTATTTAAATAAGGGGAAAAACAATCTGTGACATTTCCTGATACAGTTTTTGCTCTCACACAGCTAGAATAGAAGCAAATGAAAAACACACACTTATAATGCCATATATCTAAAGTTCTGATGATTTGGGCAAGCCAGGTGAGCAAATGTCCAATCTAGTTCTCTAAAATGCACTGCTACAGTAATGGCAGCAGTGCTGAAGACACTTTAACATCAGCATTATGTGAAAATCCCTCATAGTCCTTCTCAACTTCACAGCATATTCTCACGGCCTTATATTGCTATAATCTTAGAGGCCATCTAGTCTAAACTCACTGTTGTGCAAACACCAGTGGGTCTGACAGGTGAAGCTTTTGCTGATGGAGACTTGGCCAATGACTGGCAAGAGTGAGAAGGAGATCGTGGCTGGCCTGCCCTGCTCAGATCTCTTCTCCTAACACTCTGCCTCATTCTGTGAAATGAAATGGACGGACTAACGAATGTTTCTACAGTATCTCTTGTAGCTCAAGTCTATGGTTCCATGAGTCTACCAATTACTAGCATGCGATACACATCTCAAATGAAGCTCTTCCAGCTCAGGGCTGATACAGAAGACCCCGCTTACCAAATCACTCACACATATTGTTTACTAGGAAAATGGTTTTCCCCTTTTCAGGCCCTGCTTCTAAAGAACAGGCTAAATGGAGTTTCCTGCCATCTCCCTCGGGGTCTCATCATTATCTCTGGCTTCTAGTCTGTTCATTTCTCTTAACCATCTCCATTAAACGTTACTGAGCAAAAGACTAGATAATATATCTCAATGTAATTAGGGGTAATGCATGAAAGAAGCAGTGTAGAGACACCTAACCTCGAATAGTTCTCTTCACAGTTTCAATTGAATAATTAGTATTTCATTATATTTCTAAGATGTTATATATGAGAAAAATCAAATATGATAACATAAAACTAAAATATCTTTTTGTAAAAATAAACATTTTTATTAGTTCGTACATTCTTTTTATGGCCAGGAAAGAGGATAAGAATTGGACCTATAGCAATTTTCTTGACCATAAAGGGGTAAGCCAAGTCCTATTTTCACTGCTTCCCACTCACAGGAAGCTCTTCATGGATATCCCTTTTTTTTTTTTTTTTATCTCTAGCAGGCAGCTTGTACCGCTCTCAATTTGGGAAATGATCTGTTACCTAACAGATGCCTGTATTAAGCTCATCTAGTGTTGAGCAGCATAGGATGTATTTGAAATCAGCAGGAAGACTGAAGGGTTCAGACTTCTCAGATGCCTTTCAAAGCTGTATTCCATAGCTGGGGTCAAAGCTTGCCCTATACAGTGCAGTTCTGCAAGCTGTTGTTGCTGAGAAACTTACTACCCCCCCCCCATTAAAGTGCAAATGTGGGAAGAAGAAACAAAAATATTAGATAGGGGAATGGCAAATGGACTTGGACTTTATTGGCATAACTCTGATCGACTAAGAGTTTCCCTTTTCATCACAGACCACGGCACTCAAGGAAGAGGAACCAGGGTTCTCTGTGCCCACCTCTTCTCAAAAGGGTGATTTTATAAAAGTGCTTTCCATGTAAGAAGAAAAATACATTTTAATGAATCAGTACATGTACAAAGGGTGACCACGAGGCATGTTGTTATGTCAGTGCAGGGGCCTTTATTGATTTTTATGAACAATAGTCTAAGGTTAGTGAAGAACTATGCTTTGTTTAAAATTTAAATCTAGAAAGCCAAGGGAAAACCAACTGAACAGATTCCATTGGCTGCAGCCTTCAATTTAAACAGCAGAGAGAAAGAAAGGTAAGTAGCCACAGTCTACTTGTGCCTAGCTTGTTGGCACACTTATTTCTGATTATTGGAAAAGAAATAACATGCTTATTCTACAGAGACAGAGGACCTGCTGGAAGCTTATAGCAACACACAAGTCTACTCAGAATGATTCCATATGTTACACTGTGGTTTCGCTGTTTAGTTAAACAAGGGAAAGATCATAACCCTGTACAGATACCTGTTATTGAACTTGAAACGCCAAGTGGAAACAGAACTAGTCAGCGCGTTCATTTATACACAATTTACAATATTTGATTCAAAATAAAAATCACAAGAAAAATACATCTGTTTCTGCTACAATTCCTTCCCCGCCCCTTTTCTGCCCCCCAGTGAAAAGTCCTCTAATAAAAGTTATCACATTATCACCATTGTCTTGTTTTGGTCTACCATTTTGGTCCCAGCTTGGGACAGTTAACACGATAAGGATGGCAATAATTGGGATTTACAGAACATACACACTTTATCCAGGGGTTTCAGTACTTGTAGTCATGTCTCCAGATCTGGTAAATCATGGTTCAGTGCAAGCCAGAAAGCTGGACAAACGCTGGGCAGGTTGTGTGGGGTGCAAAATCCCTTGGCTAAGTCTATGCCCAAACAAGATCAAAATTGGTTGGCTAGAGCTGGGCTCATACCTATTCTTAAACATATACTACCAGCTCGGCTAGTTAGTTTCAGCCTTTCTTAAACCACACACCCATCTCTCCAGGTTTCTGCCTAGAGATAAGACCAACTGATGAAGCCATGTCTTCATGAGAATGCATAAGAATAAAAAGCAAAAACAGGAAAACCCATTCATTAGCATCTGGCCAAATGAGACACTGACGTGGGAGGCCATTCTTATTAAGTACGAAACCTAGTTGTCGTATTCATTCATTTCAGTTACTGTTAAGCTTTTGGTGGAATCAATTCCAGCAGAGGTGAAGCTCATGGCACCTAGTGCTTGACTTAAGATAATGCTATTGAATAAGGGTAATGAGAAAACATGGCAACCTAACAGGGAGAAACTGGCCAAGGACTATCTGGAGGGCCAAAGTGATTTTTCTTTCCTTAACATTTCTATAGGAGAAGGCAAGGGGTGGGAGAAAAGGGCTAGAGGGCCCCTTATTCGCAGATTAAAAAAATCATTTTCTCATAACTCCGTAATGAAAATGTGTATTACGGCATGAAGGTTACAGAACTGCATCTGCTACTGGGTCACGGCTACAGGTCTATCAGCTGATCCACCAGCAGTAAAGACCTGGCTAGGTTGGGAAGACTGGACTCAGAGCTCCCACTGCTGTTTCTAGAGTGCCCACCTGGAAGTGGAGAGATAGGAATTCAGTACAAAACATAGAGGTTTAGATGTGCAGAGCAAGCAAAGGAGAAACAGAAACAGAAAAGCCTAGAGAAGCAACATCTTAACATTTGCAAACTCTTTCATGCTGATCTTTAAATATAAAATTAGCCACCCACTACTTCCCACCCAAAGTTCAGGCACTTTGTGCAAAGCATAGGATAGGCAGATCACCTCGCAAACAGGACACTGTTTCCAAATCAATACATATTTAACGTGAGAGTGGCTAGCTATTTGTAACTCCCTAAGAACATCAAATCACATGCCTGATAAAGTAAAAATTACACATTTTTTTCTAGGGAGGAATTAGGAATTAAGACACTGAAGTAAGAACATACTTTTAAAAATACTAAGTAGACACTCCTATAGCAGCTCAGTGTGCTATGGCACGTTCACATGATTTCAATCTGCCCAGTGTTCCAGAGACGCTGATACCAAAGCACCACTGTTAATCTCTCTGGCATAAAATTTTCCAAGTCGTTCTCATCATGGTAAAAATGTTCAGTGCTTTAGATACATATCTTGGTTTGCACTGACTAAAGATCGCATTAATGTTGGCTTGGTACTCTGTAAGTTACAAGCTATCATTTAGTAAAACTGCAAACTACCTTTTGCTAATAAGTGAGGAAAAAAAAAAACCACGGCCAAGCTTTGCAGTTTCTATCTCCATATCTATCTCATCCATCTATTCCGGCCCAGCCGTCAGTGACTGTTATTACCCCCAAAGTCCTCTCCTGCACATCAGGCACACTACTATTTTGACGAGAGCTCATCTTCAGCTCTTCTGTTTTCCCCGTCCTCTTGCTTACCTTGTGGGTTTTTGGTTATCAATACAGGAATTGGGTCAAACTCATCTTCAGCGACTTTGTCCGAGCCCTCAGGGACATCAAAACCTGAGATGAGATTACTATCTTCTGCAGCTTTAATACAGAATGCGAGTGTACAAGCAGAAACAACAGAAGCAGAGATTAGCAATGACAGAATGCCAAGGAGACACAGTTCCCCACTGCACAGCCATTGATTTTAAAGGTCAGGTATTTGTTGTTCTGAGTTGAAATAAAAGTAACAAAATTGGCAAACAGAGTGATACAGGGAAAGCTGCTTTAGAGTTGGTCTGGTGAAGAATCTCAGAAACAACTAAGGAAGGGGAATTAGTGAAAGCCTCTCTACTATTTATAAGACCATTAATTATAACACCGTGAAGTAGCTCTTCAATGTCACTAAATCCCAAAGACACTGGAATTAGTCATTTGTAATTTTTATCAAGTGAGTAGAGGTCCAACAATATTTTAAAAATCTTAAAAGAACTTATAAGAAGTAATTACTATATACAAGATTAAAAAATTCTTCTGGAAGGATTTACTGTTCTGTGATTTGGAACAAGGACTTTTGACACAGCTCCGATGCTTCAGGGAACTTCAGGGCCCAAGATCATTTGCCCTGAGCTCTCTAGAAGTTTGGTAGATTGTTCTCCATGATAATTAAAGGGATCCTGCAGTGAGTGCTAGTTGAGTCTTGCAAGTGATACTTCTATATTACACACTGCTGTTAACACAGTCCTATCAGACTAACTGTTCAAATGGATAACTTCTTTCTACACAGCCTATGGAAGTAAACATTTTCATTATTTCAGGAGCCAAACCATAACTCAGCTATTAATACTGCAAACCATGGGCTAACTATTGTTAGTCATCTTAGGGAAGCCCCCTTTTTAATGTCCTGAAAATTTGCTTTTTGATGTATTCTATCCTCCTAGGAAGCTAATTTCTACTTCTCAAGCACAGAAATAAGAAAGTAAACGCCTCTGCAGAGCAAGCCAAGCATGATGAGCAGAACTCAACTCAAGCTGCCTCTGCCAGTTTCAAACCAATACTAATCCAAGACTAAGAAATGAAAATGGCAGATTAGACAGAGAGTCAATCATGACTTATACCAAAACATAAAATTTTCACAAGTTCGTTGTTGATAGATGCATTTGAAGAACAATACCTGTTTTTTGTTGTTGTTGTTGCTAATTGCATTGCTATTCAAAAGGTCTGAATTGAGAGTTGATAAAACCATCTTAAGTTCTAAGGCCAACACAGTTGCTGAGGGGTGGCCCAGGAGTATAAAGGTGTCACACAGAATACTCTGTGTACCAGCTTCTTGCCAGAAAGCAAAAGCTTTCTTCTCATTTTTCTTGTTTGTATTAGTTTTATTTTCTCTACATTTATTTATTCTCTAAGCTTTTAAAATTATCCTTACTGAAAGCTATTACAGCACAGTGGCTACGAGTACAAACTCAAGTCTTACATACACAGAGGTAGATAAAAGACTTTACTAGCCAAGACTTTTGATAAGGAAAACTCTCAGCAGTTCTTCAGTCCTCCTACTATGTGTGGGCCTGACAAGAAGAAAGAATTTACCTTTATGGGCCGGAGCAGAGATCGCTATGGGGGCAAACTCGTCCAGAAGGTCAGTAGAAGGGTTAGGAAGCAGAGAGCAATCAAGCAGGGAATCTTCCCCGGTGAGAGAATCTGAGTTCAGTTCAACAGCATCCCCAGTCAGTGATGGCATTAAATGGCACACACAATAACATCATGGGATTAGAGCTCAACCTTTACATTACTGCATTTACATACACACAATCAAGCACAAGTGGGAGAAAGAAAACCGAAAGAAACTTGCTGAGTTCCGTGGGTTTCTATTACAGAAACATGCATTTCTAAATTCCTGTTATCATTTACCTATAATCCAGGAGATTTTTTTAAAAAAAAATAAGTCTGTTATTTGGACACCAATATAATTTAGGAAACTCAGTTCTCAGCAGGTATCATTTCAGAAAAAAGACTTTGCAATTACAGTTTCAATTTCCCCAAAAACTCATGGAAGAGAGCTATTCTACAATGTGGTATCCAAACTGATTAGCAGGCTGTGATAAGATTATGTCATTTCTTTCAGATGTCAACCCCAAGTCCTGCGCAAAATGTGTCCCTTCAATTTCAGTAAAAGAATGGAAAACATAATTAATGGTTCAAGATTTTTAATACAGGAATTGTGTTCTGGGAGAGTTTTCTAGTAGGAAACATGCAAATGAGGTCAAGGAAAAGGAGCCACAACATCTTTTGGGGTAACTTCTTTTTCACTTTTACCAGACCTGTAATTGTTTCTACTCCAAGTTAAAAAATTATTCACTTTATTGAGGTAATTAAGAACTCAATAAGAGTTAATGCTGTCAAATCTGTTATTTATGGGTAGTTAAGGCATCCTAAGAAAGTTTTGAAATGAGAGTGAAAGCAATGCTGAATCAGCAGAAATTACAACAGTGCCATAATATAACAAGTCACCTAGAAATGCTGATTGCTCCTGGCTGTGGGCTGGATGTCACCATATAAAGGGAAGTTTCGTGCACCTGCTGACAGTGATAGGAACTCTGAGGAGTTTAGGGCAACCTCACACCTCAGCAGAATTTTACAACTGGGGAGGCAGAGGGCACCTGTCACCAACGAACACAATCTTGAATAAGAAAATACTGTAGCCAAAAATCCAAGGCCCACCCTGCAAAGAACTCCAAAAGTACTCAATTCTTTAGTAAGGAAACCTTCCACCCCATGTCCAGATGCTGGACCTGTAACAACAGTGCAGGTCACCCATTCTCCAGGAAAAATTAGGGCCTGGGCTGCAAAATAAGCACAGGATAATCTACCACAGGTGGAACAAGTGGCTTGAAGAGCCCTGGTAACATCCAATCCCAGCAGCCGCAAGACACCTGACTGACCTGTGCGGTTGGAAGTCACCGATTCCGTCTGAGATGGGAGGCGCTGGGGAGCTGGGGGCTCCAGTCCTGGTATGAGACTCTCAACAGCAACATCAGCTTTTTCTTTTGTAACATAGCATTAAGAATGGAGAGGAGAGGGTACAGGAAAAGATGTCAGAAAGTTCTGGAGGGAATGCAGCGAAGTTGTTCTTCTACAGGTGACAATGCCAGTTCCAAACAAGACATTGTAGGTGACTTCCATTATTTCTGTTGTTTTGCCTGCCTGAGCATGGACGTTCAAGAGTAACTGCTGTGGACAGACTCAGTGGTAATTACTTCTCACAATATCAGTCACTTGGCAAACCCTTTCTATATCAGAAGAGACAGGCTGTTAATTTTGCTTTCCTAAAAGGCCAAATCTGGGGGCAAACATCCTGTGTGCTGTGCAAGGCCACTAACCCAAGTCAAAGCCTATGTTGTAATGTAAGTTCCCATTCTGTAACAGGGGATTTCCTGCAGCTGGAGGCCTACCCTCCGTGAGTTTACAGCATTTCTGAGTTTGTCCAAAGGTATCACTATACTGTGAATGACTGGCCTCTCCTGGAATACAGGAGCCTTGAACCTGCTGTCCTCCTGCTGGAGTACAGTGAAGTTAAAATGCAGAACAGGATGCAGACCCAGTCCTGTCCTCACTGTTGGTTCTCAGAAGGTTTCATCGCTGGGTCAAGTGACTGGCACTTGGGATGTACATGTCCTTATAAAGAAGAATCTGTTCAATTCCATAAAGCACAATAAAGATTACTAAGAAACCAACTTTCTTTCATTAAGTTTCCATATATATGTGAATGTTTCTATATTCCTCCACATTTAGGAGAAATTCTAGGTTATTAAGAAAAACAAACATTACAATGCTGTGCTCCTGAAAACAGAGAACACTTTCCTGGGAATGATCATAAGCGGGATCACAGAGCCTTGCCTTCTTGGTTAGCGCAGGCATGGCTGGAAAACCAAGGGGCTTTGTTCTCTGCTCTTCCCTAGAGCTTTTCCTGTTAGCCAGGAACTTCTCACACCTGAAGCATGTGCACGCACGTGTGCACGTGCACACACACACACACACACACACCACGCACAGCTAAAGAAACAGAGACAATGACATTACCAATCACAGCCTCGGCAGCGCTACCAAAAGGATCTGTCATAGGCAAGAGGTCAGGGAGCAGAAGAGAAGTGTCAGGTGATTTGAGTCCCTCAATTAGTTTTTCTGGATTGGGCAGAGAGGCAAAGAAAAAGTAAAAGTGCAGTGAGATTAAAGCAAGCAGATCTTTCACCATTTCCTAAGACGTTTTAGAAGTCAACATTTGATACAGCTTCACCATAAAAATGACTACTGTTAGTAAATTGTTAATAATAGGCTCTCAAAATTTAAAGTTTAAAAAAGATTACTTTCCCAACCAAAGCATTTATTTGTATTGCCTTCAAGATGCTGTCATAGGTTTGCTTTTGAGGTATAATTTACATATAATGAAAGTCACGAAGTTTAAGCACATACAATCCAATTACATGTATATTAATATAATCACCTGTAACGTAGTGAGTTAGAACAGTTCCAATGCTCTAAAAAGTTCCCCTGTGCCCCTTCACAGTCGATGCTTCCTCTCTCCCTAAATGCTCACAATCCTGGATCTGTTTTCTGGTCCTATAGATTTGCGTTTCCAGAATTTTCTACAAAGGGAACCATATAGTATGTGGTCTTTTGTGTGTAGTTCTCATTTGTGTAACTGTGTTGAGATCTGTCCATTCTGCACTATGCATTAGCAGTCCATTCTGTTTCACCCTGAGTAGTGTTCCACTGTATGGATGTACCACATTTTGGTCCATTTACCAGTTAACAGACCTGTGACTATTTCAGGTTTTAACTATTAAACAATAAAATTGCCATAGCTTCTATACACGTCATTGAAAATTCATTTCTCGTCCTGGACTTAGTTTTGACTCTCTTTTATGATTAACTTGTATTTAAACACAGTTTATAACTCAGAGAGAATCCATTCACCCACAACAATGTTAACCTCACAAGCTATTTATTAACTAGCAACTGTGCATCTGTGATAGGCTGGTACTCAATTATTCCTATTCCACAGTCAAATTTCACTAATTCACTTAAGCCTGCAGATAGACTGTGACACTGTGCCTGTCTTCTGGCCAAGACATTAAAAGACATGAGAAGACAACACATTTATCACCTCTGTTAACTATGATAATGTGCACACACAGAGATTCCTTCCAAAATAATTCCTTTAGCCTGGATCCATCAGTAATCCACTATTTTTTAAAAAGATTTATTTATTTTCATTGCAAAGTCAGATAAACAGAAGGAGGAGAGACAGAGAGGAAGATGTTCCATCCTATGATTCACACCCCAAGTGACTGCAATGGCCAGAGCTGAGTCAATCTGAAGCCAGGAGCCAGGAGCTTCCTCTGGGTCTCCCATGCAGGTACAGGGTCCCAAAGCTTTGGGTCATCCTTGAATGCTTTCCCAGGCCACAAGAAGGGAGCTGGATGGGAAGTGGGACCACTGGGATTAGAATCAGTGCCCACATGGGATCCCGGTGTGTTCAAAGTGAGGACTTTAGCTGCTAGGCCACCGTGCAGGGCCCAGTAATCCTCTATTAACCTTTAACCTATTAAAAGTAGAATATTAACTTGAAACAAAGTCATGAATCACAGAATCTTACAGGAAGGAATGAATTTAGAGTTCATACTTCCTGTTACTTGAGACAGAGGTCACAAATTGTATAACTTCCTAGTAAAAGACATGTCAGCAATGTTTTTTTTTCTATTACAGAAATAAAATGCCATTTTGATAAAAGTATAATTAAAGAGTCTGCTTGAGAAACAAAGTTCAGTATCTGTATGAAACATTTTAATGGCTTTGTAATCTTCTAGGTCGCTGGGAACTGAGATAAGCATCAAATAAACTAATATTCATGGAAGCATAGGAAGCAAATCTTAGGTGATTCATAACTGCACACATCCAACTAAAGATTAGATTTTAGTGTCTTGGCAAGATAACTAACTTGAGAATGATGAACACACTGCAGAAGAAGAAATTTTTTTTACATATAAAGTCAATTCCCCAACTTTGGGGTAAACGGAATGTGACTATCTTTGAATTAACTGACAATACGCTATATCTCACATCTGATTTTCACTGATGAAAGCAAAGAAAAAAGGAACTTCTCAATAGCAGGGGAGAAAACCAGTAGGGCAGGATCCATGCTATACAGGTATAATCTCACATCAGTGTTAATCTTGCACTGAACATATTTTATTATAAAGCAAGATGTTCAACTATCTTTGATGGAAGACAGTTTTCTTATGAAGTCTCCATTATCACGAACACTTTTCATTCTTCCTCCAAAAACTCATTCAAAAAAATGCAATTTGCTCAACTCATTTAGCACTTACGTATCTGCAATTCTGTGATGCAATGGATAAAAAAATTAAAGATTCCAAATTAACTACTTGCTCATCATTCATCTAGCTGTTTGCCCAGGTGTAAAAAACTCAGGCTAACAGTCTTTCAGAATTCGGATTCTATCGTCTGGTGATGCACTGCGACCACGGTGCAGTTCCTTCCTCTCACATTACCTCCTCACCTGTCACATGAAGACAGCTCCCCCACCTCCTCTAAGCCTTCTCCACACCCTCCCTGACACATTAAGATACTGCTGGAGCAGATGGCTCTCACTTCTCTTGTAGTCCTGACAATGTGACTAAAGGCAGAGAGGGTGTCTTATTAACCTCTGTAGCCTCAATTCCCAGGCTCCTTGTCAGGTCTCTGCCACTCCTGTGTCTTTTGGTTTGATGGGGGAAGATGAAAGATTAGCTGGAATATGTCAAGTACTTCAACAAGAATCTAATTCCTTTAGTGGCCCCTAGCAGAAAGCATGTAAGTAGGTAAAAAAAAAAAGTACCTGTGTACACACAAATACATGCACGTTGTTGGTCGAAATGGAATGGAGTAGGGTTGGGGCTAACGTGTCAAATTTAAGGAAGCTTACTTCCTGACTGAACCTACAGAAGCAGGCTGTTTGTGAGTCATCTGTGTTCACTTGGCAATGTGGGAAGCAGAAGCAGAGGACAGAGTAAAGCCTGGGAGAAGACCACCAGTGTCAGGAGGCCAACATGCTCAGAGGTCCCATCACTCTTCCGATACAGAATGGCCCCCAGCTCTTCAATGGCTGCCTTCCAGTTACCATCACAACAAGGGCTTAACCCTCAGAAAGGGTCCCTTTCATCAGCACAGAATGGCTCTCGACAGAAGAATAGAGGAATGGGAAGGGTATATGCCACATACTGTCTTAGTTAAAAAGTTACATACAGATTTTTCTCTCAAATTGGGAACACCAGCACAGTTCAGGAAATAGGGATCAGATAAAGCATGGTAGAACCTGGACTCATCTTCAAATTCCCTGCAGGAACTGCCTGTTTCCAACAGCATAAAGATGAGTTCCCAGGGACACAGTACCAAGCACAACGGTTAAGTTTTTAAAGGCATGCTGGCACTGGGAGGAAATACAAATCCTTCCCAATTTAGCCTTCTCAGTTATGCATGAAAAAACTAGATCAAGAAAGGCAAAAAGCAGTGTGTCCAAGATCTCACAGCAAGTAAGAGAATTAGCTACAACAAAGACTCAGATATTCTACCACACACTGGAGAGTCCTTTTTCAGGCTTAACTAAGGCTTTGATTGCTTTAAAATGTAATGTTTCTTACAACAGATCACATTTAGAAATAATGTCATTTTGGCCACTATAAATTGGGGATGAGGAACAAAGGGTTATTTGGATATTTATATCATGCATGGGCCATACAGAAGTACCAATTTAAAAATTATCCTGCTATAAATTCAGTGAAATTCAAGGCTTGCCTACAGTTCCCTTGGAAAGTCCAGACCAAATGATTCTGCATAAGTGGCCTCTAGGAGAGATGTTTTCCCACTCGTACTGTAGATGAAGAATTTGGGAACCGAATATAACATGAGGCAAGAAGAAGGCTATATGATGCTGAGAGTCTATAAATCTTGGAGCCCGGAGGCCTCCCATCTCCATCACGGGCTGACCCTGACATCCCTCATATTAATCCATTGTTTATCTCACAGGTTTATTAAAAGCATTCTACAGTCAATGGCACAAGGAAGAATGGCACGGAGAAAAGAGTGACTAATATAGGAAACTGCCAAAAGTGGTTTTGGTGTGTTTGATTTCTCTTTTACCAGACATGTACTTTAAGATTCCAACTTCTTGGGAGAAGACAGAGAAAGACACCTTTCATCTGTGAGTTCATTTCCCAAATGGTCACAGGGCCTGGGCTGGGGCTGGGTCAGGTCAAAGCCAGGATCCTGAAATGGTTACTTGGTTTCCCACATGTATTCAGGAGCCAAGGCTCCTGGACCCTCTTCTGTTGCTTTCCCAGGTGCATTAGCAGGGAGCTGGAGTAGAAGTGGAGCACCTGGGACTCAAACTGCTCCATGAGGGATGCCTGGTTTTGCAGGCAGCAGCTGAACTTAAAAAGCAACAGCACTAGATCCAATGTTTCAACTCTTGAAAAATTTTTATTAATATAAAGAGAATAGATTTCATGTATTTTATAGGTCCAGTCTAAGAAGATAACCATATTTCCATCCCTCCCTCTCCAAGATTCAAACTCTGGATCATGTACCACCTCAACATATAATGACTTACGGATATATAATAACCCAGGGCTTTTAAAGTAAATCTTGCATGAATCATGGGAAATCGCTTCTCTAGACACACAGACACACACAGGCGTGCGCGCGCACGCACACACACACACACCCTCTCCCAGGTCAGTGTGAACCTGAAATGTACAGACTCACACTCTTGCTCTCAATTAGTCAAGGTGACAGATCAAGGAAACCCAGCATATATTCATAGATTGCATGTAATCACCCCAAGAAACATTTAATAAGAATTGTTCCAGCTCCCTGTTAGAATCACAACCCACGGACACCATATTTTAGTATATGTGAAAAAGCGACACATAAGTCTGATAGAAGAAAACTGTCCATTTTTCTATCAGTTCCTAGGTTGTCTGTTTTTTTATTGTTGTTGTTTTGACATCAAATTTGAAATGAGGATTTGTGTACATGTGCTTATGACTCCAGACTGTAAATGTGTGCATATGCATAAGTACCTCTGCATGCATCTGTGTGGTGCTAAAAGGATACCTGTGTTT